ATAGGTGAGTAAAAATATCAACACTAGAATGCTTGGGTCAGTTAATGATTGGAAAATATTTTAAGTAAATTAACACAGAAAAATGCTAATCTATTTTTGCGAAGTTCAATAGAACTATGATTCCGCAAAATGAAGTGACGCGTTTCATACAGTTCGCGTTTATATACACTTATTTTACTATTAGCATACACTTTATTGCCTGGCTGTTGCTTAATCGCCAGCGGCCATAAAAGGCGATAAGAAATTGTGTAGCCGACTATAGAAGCTATTGGAAATCTTACAGCCGGCTGTAGGTCTATGGTATTTTGGAACACAGATTCTACTGCCAATTTTTATCAGGGTTCAGTTTCATTAAGATAATAATAATAATACAAAAAAAAGGGTTAGTGGCTATCCAGACCCTTAAATTAAATCAGCAGAAAAGCCTCATTGAAATAACATGCATCGATTGCCTGTGAGAAGATTCGCCGTCTTCTGAACGGAGATACGTTAAGTATTCAACGTTGGAAATTTTTCCCCTCGTATTTTTCCTGGAAATCTGTTGGAGGTTTCTAACGGAAAATTTCGCTGATTATAAGTGAGGTTCAGGAAAATTTGAAACCGAAATGACTTAGTTTTAGTTTAAAATTATTTAAGTAAATGTTATAATCACGAAAATGAAGTTATGTCCCTTTGAGCCTAAAACAAAAGATTGGCACTACCCTCAGCGCCCGATTCCTGTAACTTTAATTACATTCCTTTCAGACTTAACTCCATTTTCATCAGCACGGTATTGAGTCGGAACGAATAAAATCTACGATCGACTCACTCTGAGCGACCGCAGTCTATTTGCGCGGACCCGGTGAAGAACGGGCCAAACGTTAAGTTGCAAATGAATTAAAATAATAAATTCACATATGCGTACTTTCACACGGCCCTGAACGCTTCCCTTTCACAAGCAGGGAGACTGGAGACACTCCTTAATCGTTCCAGAACTCGTATCCTTGCGCACTCTTATCCTCCGATCCATGAAATCATTGTTATGGGCATCTGCGATATTTAAGCGAATTCCCACTTTGCATGGGCGACGTTCTCCTAGCTTCTAGACCACCCAGTCCCCAACTCACTAACTCTGCCTTGTTACCAAAGAGAGTAGTACTGCCGTGCTAAGGAAGAACGCCGTATAAACCATCAGGCGTTGTCAAATTACCTTTGATAAAACGCGACCTTCCTGGTAAACTTACGAATCTTTTCCTTCCAATTTTTCGGATAATTTTGTTCGCAATTTCATCTAAAGATTTTGAAAATTTAAAGGAAAAATATTCACAACTTTCCTCAAAAATTAAAATTTTATCGAAGGAAATTTGGCAACTCTCGATTATTCATACGACGCCTCTCCTTAGCACGGCGGAGTAGTAGTGCCCAAATTTTCAAAGTCGAGCATACGTCAAAATTCTACCGATGTAGATGAAAACTCAGCTAAGACAAAAAATTCGTCTTATTTGTAAAAAAAAAAAAAAAAAAAAAAAAAAAAAAAAAAAAAAAAAAAAAAAAAAATCGAATTATTAACAATCTTTTTACGTGCAAAAATAGACGTCATTTTCAGTGCACTGGAAAAAAACACATTCGATCTGGAGTCCAGACTCTTGAAAACATTGTCAAGAAAAAATACTCTTGATTCAATCGGATTTTTGCTTGAATCAAAACGAAATCCTCTTAAATTAAGAGGCTTGGTTCTTCACTTAAGCTAGACTCTGATTGAATCAAGAGTACTTTTTCTTGTCGATGTTTTTAAGAGTCTGGACTCTAGATCCAATGTGTTTTTTTCTCCAATGTGGCGAGGCGTGCTTTGCGATGAATTGACTACTCAGTCATTCAAATCTATGGAAAAGGGTCGATTATCAGGGCGTTCTCAACGAGCACCATAATAATCGAGTCTTTACCATAGTTTCTAATGGGAAAAAGTCGATTACTACGCCTCGCAACCGGTCATTTCAACGTGATGGCTCACGAAAAGGGTACGAAATTAAGAATATCGATGGTCAAAGTGCGAAACCATGTATCTCCATTGCGGTGTCTTAAAATTCAAGTGCCAAATGATGAAACGTAAAAGACCAAAAAAAATTTGAAATCCAAAATAAATACTGTTCTTGTCGTGTTAGGATTGAGTTTATTATTCTTGCCAATTTACGGAGATCATACAAACGTTAACATACAATACACCTTTCGGCGATACAACTGTTCGGTAATGTGAGAGTTCTTATTGTATAGAATTAGAATCACAGAATATAACGTTAAAGTCACTTCAAGTGAGTGATCCATGTAAGCGTGACATTTCACGATGATCTCACAATTCGACTACGTAGGAACCCATGTTGCCTACACCAAAAATTGAAGGAGAACTGACATGGCGTTAAAGTCACCTCCTCTCGTCCGGTAAAAATCTATTTCTTGCGTGTATTCTGAGTAAGCTTAACATTTCACGATGATACCACTATTCGACCACGTAGGAGCGTATGTTGCCTACACTAACAGTTGAAGGCGAACTACTAATGGGTTAAAATCCCCTCTCCACATTCGGTGAACCGCTTTGACATATGTTCAAGAACCGCCTCTTCCGCGAGGGACCACTGGAAACAAAACACATTGGGTCTAGAGTCCAGACTCTTGAAAATATTGACAAGAAAAAGTACTCTTGATTCAATCAGATTTTTGCTTAAAACAAAAGGAGATCCGCTCAAATTAGGAGGCTTAGTTCTTGATTTAAGAAAAAATCCGATTGAATCAAGAGTATTTTTTCTTGTCGATGTTTTTAAGAGTCTGGACTCTAGATCCAATGTGTTTTTTTTTCCAGTGACTGTTAAAAGCTCCAATTTTTTCCGGCATTTGTTAGGTAAACTTTCAGATTTTCTCAATGGCTAATTCATTTTATTACATGGGTCTCAATTCTTTCAATCGATGTTAATAACATACAAATTTATACAATCATCTTATCTTCTTAAAATAGTTATTTTCGTTAAACTGCGATAGTATTTTAGTTAAACTGCAAAAATGCATAGCTGTTTCAAAATCTTCGCAACTGTTTTATTTTCTAAAAGGCGACCAAACCGACATCATGGTTTGAAGCTTTCACAGAAAATTCTTTATAAAGAGAAGAAAAATCACTGAAATTTAAAAAAAAGACATTCGGTACATGAAGAAAATAAAGAATGACAGGATGTCTGCAATTCTGCAAACAAAGATACGCATTCCTGCAGTTTAACCATCGATTTGCGACATCAGTAAGACGGATACAGCCCTCATTCTTTTTGTATCATGAAGAGCAAAATTTTTGCCAAAAAGCCCATCATCATGTTTTTGCATGATTCAGTCATCAATGCTTTCCGTATAAAGAGTAGAAATGAAAGGGAAATTCACACAAAACAATGCAGTTTGTATCGATCGTGTGGAGAGGCGAAAACCATTGATGACGAAAAAGTAAACAAATGCAATTTCGCCGTGAGAGAGGCAAAGGGACAATGATAACATTCCGCGAGCGAACAATCGGGTACAGTTAGATTTGTTTGTTTTACCTGTGTCAGGTGAGGAAATTAAGGATGTAAAAGGGCCTTTATCCACCTGATTCGAGGGGCCGATATTTGGGTCAATTGTTTAGACGCAACACGCGCGCCCGATCAGTTTCACAATGCGCACTGTCCCGCTCAGAATGGCAGAAAACCTATGTTTGCGTGCTATTGACATCAAAAAAAAAAGAAAAAAAAGAAGAAAAAAAGGCGAAGCAACGCCCACCAGTTGTCTGGTGGATCCGGAGTTCAACGTGCGGGAGTCGCAGGTGAGATATCATTTGGTGCTGACAGGGAAACCAGTGGCGAGGCATGAATGATCGATTATCGATTATCGATTTTTCCCCATTTGAAGCCGTGCTAAAGAATCGATTATTACTGTGTTTGCTGCGAACGCACCGTTTATCGATTCTTTTCTATAGGTTTTAACGGCAGATCAACCGATATATCGCAAAACACGGTACGCCACACAGTGGATCGAGTCAATTAGCGAGGTCGGACTTGAAATTTTTGACAAAACTGCAAATTTTCATGTTTAATTCGTCACATTTTAAATTTCAAGGAGTGCTTCAAGACAAAAATTCTACGAGGAAACCAATGAAACCACTTTCGGGACCTCAAAGTTTTGTAAAAAGGGAGTTATACGTGTTTAAAGTTGCCAAATTTTGTCCGACCTTTTCTATTGGCTCGATCCACTGTGCGCCACCGAGGGAAACCACTTTCGATCGACGGGAAGGCTGGATCTCTTTTCGAACGGAACGGGATAATAGCCGAATAAGAGCGCATCGAAAGGAGCAAGGTTCGGCGGGGGGCGGGGGGGGTTGGCGAAAATAAAGGTCGCAGGTAAAAATTGGGTTACGGGCCGGCGCTGATTAGCGAACTATAGGTGAGGCGAGGGACTCTCACTTTTTAGCGAATTGTGTCACCGCGCTGAGCGTTGCGATTCACCTTCGCTAATTAACGGCTGTCCGGCCAGGGCCCCGCACCCCGGGTCGAAAAAGGCCGTGACGACCCGAGCGAGAGGAAAAGCGTTTTTCGCTTTCCTGTCGCCTTTGTGCTCGGGTTCCCACGGGCGAGGAATGTTTACACCGCAAACCCCAGGCCCTCGCGAAAGAGAATAGCGGACCTTTGGGAGACGTCACATCAATACTTAATCAACTGGGAGGCGACCACACGCCAGTGGAGACCTAAGGAACGGCGACGAAGGCCGTGAAACATATTGTAATGACGGCAAAAGGTGAAGTCTTATTACGCGGAGTACCGCGGTGACCTTGAAAAAAACTCGCGCGGAGAATGGAAGAACTGGAGTCTATTCAGTTGAAAGTGTGGTCTGGATCCGGCGCTAGCGCGGGGAGTCAATGAGAAAGAAAGAGAGAGGGAGAGCGAGAGAGGGAGAGGGGGAGGGGATCCAGCGCGAGGAGCGGGAGAGAAGGACGGGAAGAGAGAAAGAGCATGGTTTGAAAGAAAGGGAAAGGAATGGGAATGAGCGTGGCTGGGTCGGTTTGTCGGCTCAAATTGTGTAACAGCTCCTCAGTATAGTGTGGTGTACCGTGATGAGCGTAGTCGGGTGTCCGTCTTGAAGGATTTGTCCTCGCAGTTATCACTCTTTTCACCTCCTTCCTTTTTTCTTTTTTTTTACCACGCTTCAGTTTTCCGTCCCGCCAGAAGCTCTTTCGCGAAAAGCTCGTTCCGTCTTCCCAGTGATCCCCCTGCGCTCCGACCAAATTCTCCACTGGGCGGCCCCGGCAACTCGCCATTCGCGCCTCTTATTCGCGCTTCTCATTCGCGTCTTCTCGCGTGTTTACACCGCTTTTTCCCACGCTTCCAGCTTTTCGGCCGAAAGTTCAGTGTCCTACCTCAGTTCTCCCGAAAGTGCTTCCCGATCGGAATATAGTGGAAGGAGCCGCTTTTTAATTTATCAATTTGTAAATTAAGCAACAAGTGTGTGTTATCAATTTTTGCGCGTCCTATTCTAAGAATAAAAAGTTCGTGGTGATCCTCGTTTTCGACGACATGACTCGAGAAAATGTGTGGCTGTGATGTGTGTCGTAAAGGATTAATGTGTGTTTATTTATCTACGCCTACCATGGGATTAAAATTGGATAACCCTCCATATTACTGGTATGTTCCGCATGCACTTTATTTTTTATTATCAATTTTCATTTTTATAAAAATTCTTCCGTCGGGTGCAGGAAGATAATACGGTTTTTTTTCCTGCCTACGTTTTTCCCTTTTAAATGTCTCGAGACATTCTAATGCTCGTGTAGAGAAATTTCTGTTCTTATAATTCCAAAACAAGGAATTTTCCCGTCTCGCCAATGCCGAAATATTGTGAGCTGAAATAATATTAAAGCTGTCTGCCCTCGCCGACAGAATTCAAAACTGCCAAGAAATCGAGAACAAACTTTACCTCAAAATTCGAATATTTTCGTATTTTTAATGTTTTAGTCACTTGAGTCAGGTCATGTCAACAACTTAACTACACGCTACTCTCGAATTAAGTACGCTGTGTTGTCCGTATCAGATAATCTGATCCTTCTCACGGTGTAAAAGAGCGTCAGCTTTTTTGTGGATATAATTTTTTAAACGGAGACCACAATTATTTGAAGTCTTCTAGTGCAAGAACACATGAGAGCTTACGATACTTGAATACGTAAACTTGATCCATAAGTTTATAACTCAACAAATTAGGTAAAGCAAACTCCAAAGAAGAAATTGGAGCAATTTATGTAGGTATGATTTATTGTAAAGGAAATAGAAATGTAGAGAGAAGGAGATGTTTGGCGGTAGCCAATCACCATCCAGTGAGAACAGTGCTTTTTCGCTCAACCCTTATTGGCTGCCGCACCTCATTGGTCCGCCGTTGCCTCATCACCAGCACCTCTTGGCCCATCAGATCCAACTGTATGACGATTGGCTGTCGCCGCAGATGCATAAGATATGCACCCAGAGACTACCAAAAAAAAATCAGCGCAGTTCATTGAAATGTTTTTTCACTTTTACTTTTCAAATTTTACCGGACTCATTGTAGAATCATATGCAGTTATTAATCAAGAAAACCTCTCATTTTAAATCGAGAAAAATGTCAACTGAACGGAGAAAAACGGTGATAGATTGAACCATACCCGTCTGACTTTAAGCCAAAGCTACTTACTAATTTTCTGTGATTTAAAATTAAAATCGCATGACATATGCTTTGAAAGCTTTGCAAAACTACATACCTACCTATTTACAGAACTGTCTTTTTCCACCATCGATGGACATTTCCGTTGATGAAGTATTCACGGCTGTTGACGCACGCAACAGGTTGCATCTTACCTCCATTAATGCCACGATATTACATTAACTATCTCATCCATGCCATTGATTCCACTGTGGCCTGTCCCCGTAGACATCTCAGTGATTTTATGGGTGAACCAGAAGAATGTAGCTCCTAATTATTGGAAATTGAATCTGTCTAATTGGCGTATGTATACTTTTCACGGAAAAGGAATTCCTGGTCCATCCGCAGAGGTGCCTTCAAGCATGGGGAAAATAGTGGTTCATACTTATTTATGTCGATGATGAAACGCTTTTCTTGGTTTGCGACGTTGCAGACTTCCTGTCATACTTACTTAATGTTTTTAACGGAAAAATACTCCACGATATTTCTCAAAAACTTCCATATTTTTCATTTTCTGTGTAAAGTATAATCTACAAAAATTTCTAGCGATAGCGCGTTGGTTTGTTTTTCTCCCATCAAATAAAATGGGAGCAGGAATTTTAAAACACCGTAAAAGAGATATGCGTTCTTGTAGTTGGACCATCGAAAAACGACTCTGGATTGTACCACGTTTAGCAGAAAGGAACCAAGCCACATCAACTATATTCCCAAATGTAATTGGGCAATTTAATATTTTACAAGAGAACATTCGTGCGGATTCCTCTGAAAATTTTTATAGTTGCCTCGCACCATACAGAAAATTTACTGAATTTTGCACAAAAACTGCACAACCGTTTTCATGTAAAATATTAAATTGCCCACACTGAAAAAAAAAGTAGCTTGGATCAAGCATGATAATTCTTGAATTTGCCGCCAAGAATTTTCTTTATCTTGCTTTTAGCTGACTTTTTCTTGATTCAAGAAAAATAATGCTTGGGTTAAGCAAAAAAGTAGCTTATATTAACCAGCAAAATTCTTGATTTAAGAAGAAATACTTCTTGGCGGCAAATTTAAGATTCTTTTTTTTTCTAGTGCAATTGAATTTGGCAATAGCTGATGTGGCTTGGTTCATTTCTACTTAACGCGGTCCAGTTTAGCCTACATGAAATTAAAGCACTCAGCATTGATTTCAAATGCACGTAACCAACCACCAACGAATCCGAAGATTAATCACGGAATCGGTTGCGAAAAACGAGGGTTTTCGTAATTGTTTCAGCGTCGGTACTCGCTTTATTAAATGCAGCGAGAATTCAGGACATGGATTGAGGTCCCGCGCCGTTTGACCCCGGCGCCGAGGTTGCTGCAGCCGTATTTGACCTCATCCATGTTTCAAATTCTTGCCATGTGCTCGGTCCTGCACACGTTCGTCATTGATGCTATACTTTCTCAGGAACTCGCCCATGAGTCCTTGCTGTTGTGCTGTCATCAGCCTACCAATTATCATGATGATTCGGACAATTAAGAAGGAAAACGCCACACGCAATGTTAACCATTGCATTCGGAAAGATAAAGTGGTAAAACATTGCGTTTTTTCATCATCATTACAGTATCTTTGATGGATGTCACTGAAAAAAAAAAAAAACTTAAATTTGCCGCCGAGAAGTAGCTTTTCGTAAATCAAGAATATTGCTGCTTAATTTAAGCTACTTTTTTTGCTTAACTCGAGCATTATTTTTCTTTCATCAAGATAAATTAAGTTTAAATCAAAATAAAAAAAATTCAAGAATGAGCATGCTTGAGCCAGGCTTATTTTTTTTTCAGTGATTTTCTGGACAGAGGAACTCACATTAAGGTCAATCCCTTTTTTACATTCAAAATATGTTTTCCTCAACATTAAATTTTAAAAATTTACGACTTGTTGAGCTCAAACTATACCCCACCTCTCCCCTAAAAAAACGATTGTGTTGTCGCTGCTTGGTTCAGTCGAAATAGTGCAGGGTGCAATACGTCATGCTGGCCTCCATCAGAACGGAAGTAGACCTGCTGCCTGTAAGAAATCACGTTGGCTGTAACCAAAAGTCAGTCTAAGGTCAAAATGACATTAAGCTGGTATCAGCCTCATAACAATGTGGCTAAAGTAAAATCGAGGTGCTACATCAGCCTAATGCATTCCTCTAAAATTTAATGAATCTGGCACCAGACTGGCTCACGGTTTACTAGGGGTCCTTCGGTATGCACTGTATGTATTCTAAAAGATGAATCTCACCACAAAAATTGCACGGTAGTCTGGCAATTTAGCCATAAAATAAACCCTAAGAACTCACTTGAATAGCCAAAATAAATCGGTGGTTGCAAGAGCATAGGAAGTTTACCATTTAATGTAAAGCTGGGAGAATACTCTACATTAATTGTTCCTAAAACTTCACTCTACAGAAGCCATACATTTATATAGGTAAAGTAAAGTAAAATAAACATCGCGCGATATAACCGATAGACACTTCAGACAGAAACAATTTCAGCCTGATCACGGGTGGTTGTAAAAGATTTTAAAAACAATAGGCTTACGAGACTTTTATATGGAAGCTGACGTCACAAACAGATAGAGTTATCACTAGACTTGATCGGTCGAAACTTCACTCGCTTTATCTATTGTATATCTAGTAATTAATTTTTATTGCTGATTGCAAGCAGAGTAGAGAGTTAGTGATATAGACATGTCTGAATGTAGCTCTACAGCGTTGTAATTTTCAATACCATAATAATGAAATTAAAATGAGGAATGGCCAAGAGATCGTGAAAATGTATTGTTTAATCTTATATGCTCTGACATTATTTTTCTCGTTCCTTGAATTTAAAACAAATAACGAAAAATAGTAAAAGTGTATGCCTTCTCATTTCCTGTGTGCATTTTTTGACACCGTGAAGTCTTTTTTTTTCTTTTTTTTTAAAATGAATTTCTATTTTTTGATCTCCTTTAAGTACATAGAAATTACAATATTTGTTTCACAATATAAGGGCAATGTAAAATAAACTGGAACCATTATTAAGACATCAAAATTATGCCTGTACCCTGGCATGCAAATCTCCGCCCCTGAGATTTTTTTCCCGCTGAGAATCTAGCTGCTTAATGCAGTCCGAGTCTAGAAGGAAAACCACACTAGGGAAAACTGAATGTGCATACATTATTGTATCAATAGAAACTCTTTGTTTGGAGCGCAGCGCGGATGTGCGGAAAGAAATGCCGTTTTGCCCCTTTTCCCCGTTCAAGGAGGAAAAGGAGAGGAAATTCTGTTGCAACAGAGTATCGAATTAACTCCATTTTCCTTAATTTTTCTTTTGTTTCCGTTCTTTTACCCGTCAGCGCCCTTAATCATTGCGTGTTTTATCTGTAAACTTCGACGTTAATGCGCCCATTGTAAGCGCAAAGTATGAATGCTGGAAAGAATTTTTCTCGATTTCCGTCTCTTGCCTGCAGGAACTTTGATTTTTCATCATTTTCCTGGGCAGTACTTGGATTTCCATGCTCACAGGGTCACCTAGTGTTCAAACAACTGTGTTCAATTCTACCGTGCTAAGGAAAAACGCCGTATGAGCCTTCAGGCGTTATAAGATTACCTTCGATACAATACGAAATTCCTGGAAAACTTTTGGATATTTTTATACCAATTTTTGAGACGATTTCAATCACAATTTAATCTATAGTATCTGAAAATTTCGAGAGAAAATATTAATATGTTTCCTAAAAAATTAAAATTTTACTGGAGGAAATCCGGCAACTCTCAAATGCTCATACGGCGTTCTTCCTTAACACGGCAGAATTTGTGTCAACTCTTCGAAAACTAACTCATTATGTCCGTAGAATTTTAAACTCGTGTTAGGTATAACTCAGAACATGTTAGGGTTATACGACACATTTAACTTTTGTTTTTTCCTTTCATCTTCCTCGTGCGCCCAAACATAATGTAAAATTCTTCGTCTCCAGGCGAAAGAACGTAACTACGTTTCAATGTTGCCAAATTTTTCCTCCAAAATTGCAGTTTTACCAGGAGAATGTTTGGCATTTTTAATTGAAAATTTTACTGATTTTTCTTCTGATCTCATGCGAAAATCTGAAAAATTTTAGGAACAAATTGCACAATGATATGCTCGTGAAAAATGGAATTGTTTGAGTCAATTTTGCAACCCTGGAATAGAGTAACGTTCCCTTGTGCGGGAAACAACGAATCACGACAATAGACCGGTGGCGTGGCTTGCTTTGCGACATATCGATCAAGCTGTCATTTAAACCTATGGAAAAGGATCGATAAACAGGTTTTTCGCAACGAACACCTTAAAAATCGATTCTTTACCACAGCTTCTAATCGTAAAATATCGATTGAAAAATCGTCCATTATATTGCAGATGGTATTACTGAGATCTTTAGATCCTATTTTTTGAGGCGTTTATTATTTCTTTATAACTTTTACCAATAAGAATAATATTGATCCAGCTGAGACGTCAAGAATTTCGGTCAAAGTCAAAAGCACGCGGAAAGGAATAACCTATTAAAGACACGGAGTCATCGGATGCTCACCAACTCCAATTAGGGAGTTACAAGTTTCATTGGCAAACATCCGTTGAAGGTTCTCGTCCCGGAAACTAGAGCTCTCGGTTGCTTCGAGAGTTTCAGTTCCTCATTTCAGAACTCGGTCACAAAATTGAGAGGCGCTCCAAAAATCCTCACACGGAAATTCCGTAGGTATGATGATTCATGATGAAGATTTCGGTAAATTTTGAAAACATCGCGATGACTTTTTATCCTGGACTGAATTTTGTTGTCAAGTAACAATAATCCGCTAACGACTTGTAAACCACAAAAAGTAAATTTAAGTAAAGAAGGATTCCACGAAACCACAATGGAATCTGAAATTACCTAGAATTAGGATAATTGCACGGTTGAGCAATCAGAAAGTGTATTCATGATTAAATCAGGGCAAAACTTGCGTAAATAGCCGTTTTTGACAAACTCAAACAATCACTCTTGATTAATGCAGAAAATGTTTTCGAGAGCTGCAGCTTTTCTCGTCGGTGCCAGATACCGGACGACTCAAAATTTTGGTCGAAACTTTTTATTTCTCAGAAATTAATCTCTATTTTCCTCCATTAAAACGACACAAAAACGAAACTTTCTAAAATATCCGACAGATTTTCCCTAGTTTTCCCCGTTCTCACGGGACCCCCTTGCCCTCCCCCCTATTTTCACGCGAATGACACGCAAGGGGAATTTTCCGCACCCCTTAGGTTATCCCTCGAGGAAGTGAGAAGTAAAAAAATTCTGTTCGTTTCTCTCGAGTTAATGTACAACACTGCCGTGCTAAGGAAAAACGCCGTATGAGCCCTCAGACGTTGCCAAATTGCCTCCAATAAAATTCGAATTTACCGAGAAAATTGTGATCATTCGTTTCCAAAATTTGCACACAATTTTGTACGAAATTTAATCTTAAATATTCCAAAGTTTACAGGAAAAGTATGCATAATTTCCCTAAAAAATAAAGGTTTTATTCGGGGAAATTTGGCAACCCTCGAATGTTCATACGGCGTTCTTCCTTAGCACGGCAGAACAGTCGAATCATGGATGGCAACATCGGAATGGAGGAAAGCATGCGTTTTGCGCAACATAGGCACGTTCATGTTCGCGTGTCAGCGTGTCTCATAGGAGCGCAGTTAAATTTTATTGGTTCCATTCTTCAAACGGGCGGAAACGCATCGTTCAGAGCACAGATACACAACTAGAACAATACCGGCGTCGCTATGAAGTGAAAAAACTGGAGCATAATTAAGTTTTTAATCAGTTCTCAGAACTAGGAGAAGCGCGCCCTGGGTCCATAAAACTGCCGCGGCGTTGTCACTATAAAGGAGTCGCTTGATTCGCTTGCGCTTTCACCAAGGACATCTCACTTGCATCATGTTCTCCATGCTCCTAATTTCCGTGGTTGTATTACTCCGAACATCCGATTCCTTAAGGCGAATAGTCATGGGGGTGCAGGAAATGCCCTATCCAGCGATTCTACAGGATCGCGACCAACGCACTGGAAAAAAAAAAAACACATTGGATCTAGAGTCCAGACTCTTAAAAACATCGACAAGAAAAAGTACTCTCGATTCAATCAGAATCTAGCTTAAATGGACGTATTTCTGTCAAACGGAACTAAGCGCCAATTTGAGTTCCTTTTGAGGAATTTAGAATCCCGGATAGCGCGTTCTGTCAAACGGAACTAAGCGCCATAGAAAAGCATTGCGAGTATAGGACGGAACGAGCAGGACGCCCGTTTCCGCCGCCAATCCAAGCCCCCTTCTGCATTCCTCCCCCTATGGCACTTAGTTCCGTTTGATAGAAATACGTCCAAATCAAGAACCAAGCCTCTTAATTTAAGCGGATTTCCTTTTGATTTAAGAAAAAATCCGATTGAATCAAGAGTATTTTTTTTTGTCAATGTTTTCAAGAGTCTGAACTCTAGATCCAACGTGTTTTTTTTTTTTTTTTTTTTTTTTTTTTTTTTTTTTTTTTTTTTTTTTTTTTTCCAGTGCGTGATGCATGACGTAGGGGGCGTATGCCCGCACCTCCGGTTTGCCCGAAAAAAAGGAGGATCGGAGGAAAAGGGAAGAGAGAGAACGGAGAAAAAAAGTTAGAAGGACCGTAAAGTTTGGTAATTATTCATGACGAAATTGATTTAGAATGGATAATAGATGCCTGAAAATTTCAAAAAAATTGTAGGGGAAAGCCTCCCGGTCCCCCTTCCGCCCTCCCCCTGCTCGAAGTGTCTGGAGCCGCTTTCGGGCAAATATTCGGTTGTAACGCAACTTTCAAAAGTGATGATCTTGTTTTTTTTTCTGATTTCTCTCTTTCTTTCTTCAAGAAAGTGAGACAAAAAGCACATTTTCCTGGAAAATTGGGCATTTTGCCAAAACGCCGCACGTTTAGCTGTGAGTCCAATCGGACATGTGCCGTGAGGCAAAAATGTTGAAATCGCAACAAATGGTCAATAATTTGAAGTTCTCTGCACTCCTAGATTTTCAGCAGATGACAATTGTAGTGTCGATCGATCTGTTGATCATAATTTCTGGCTTTTACGATATTTTTTCGAAGATCCCCGGACGTCAAATTATGCTGTAGTCCATCACGTATTTGTACGCTAAATTTTACCGAGAGACTTTTTGAAATAACTTCTAAACTACGTTCCGGCCGAATATCCCAAATCGAAGGAGATAACGCTCTGTGATTTTTGCTCGGGACGTTGTATTTATTTTAAAATATTTTCCGTTTATTACTTTGTACGACCCTCCTTACATTATTCCTCAGAGTGATGTGAAGTTTTAATATTTTTTATAAAATATCCGAAAATCTAGACGTTTTCAATCGATTCATTGACCATCAAATAGTTTTCGGAAAGTGCCGTAGAGCCTTTGAAAAGGCCACCATTGGCCCTCGATGATTCTTAGCCTCCGAAGACTGCCTCAGTAGCAAATCCGAATCAGCAACTATTCGTACGGAATTGTGCACGTTTTTG